GTCGGCAGGCTGAGATAGGCGGACGAGTTCTTTGTCTTTTGGTGGTGAGGTCCCGGTCCTGATGCCAACCGGAGGGACGAGGCGCTGGCCGCGGTCCGCAGCGAGACTGGCGTCCGAGGGGGCGTCATGAGGTGAGGGAACCGCGGCCACGTCGGCGGTGGGCGGTACGTGATCCCCACGGCGGCGTGCAGGCCCTTGAAGTCCCTCCGTTGCGGGATAAAGGCAACTGTGACCTCGCCCGGCTCGCCGCCCGGGAAAAACGGAGGCACCTTGACCCGGATGACGGTCTGCTTCCCAGTGGCCTGCGGATCCTCCCACCGCGGAATCGCAAAGACCTTGTCCTTATCGAAATACTTCCAGCTCCGAATCACCTTGGCCGCCGCCGGCTCCGCCAGTATCAGCGTTCTCGTGCCGCTGGCCGGGAGCTGGCGAAGCGTCGCCTCGTTGCAGTGATCGCTCTTGTGCTGGCTGATGATGACGAGGTCGGGCTCCGGGAGGTGCTGTAGAGAACACACGCATGGGCACTCCTTGTGTGTTGCGGTTGAGAGGATCGAGTGAAATATGGTGGAAGGCCCCGTGATCCATGGATCCATCAAAATTCTAAACGGCCTTGGAGCAATTCCGGGAAGTGACTCGGGCACAATGGGCTCAAAGGTGAGGAGGAATGAAGCATCCGCATTGAGCTGCTTCACAGTCAACGCCATAGCTTGGAAGGGTATAAAATAAACAAACAAAACGAGAACGAATGACACTGCAACTCGGCCAGTTGAAGAAGAAGGTATTGCTACTGAGCAATCGTCTGCCAGAAGAAAACTGAACGCAAACAAGAAAACAAGCAGAGAGGTGAATTAGATATGGTCCATGACGGCGGACACGTCTGGGGGGGGGGCGCGTCGGGACGCAACTCTGGGGATGCGTAGCCGTGAATGATCGGACGTGGAGAAGGCCATTAGGGAAACACGAGGCGATTTCAGGAAACTTTCCCTTGGCCAGATTAGAAACATGGCCCTTGTAACGCCAATTCGCCAGTCCGCCAACACAAGCACAAGCACGGCAAGCTGGCGAGAGAGGGTCAGAGCATTGTGGTCGGATCTTTAACAGATCAATAGGCTAAGGGCAAGTTAACGCGAGGTGCTCAGACTTCCGGGGGCCCGGCCGAGGAGGATATGACGACCGCAATGTGTGAACGGCCCGGCTACGGGCTGCGTGGAGAGGTCGCCAAGTTCGGTCAAGGTCGGAGGCTGAAACTCTGGAGGCTGTGCCATTTTTTTGGTCTAGAAACTTGAAGGTGCGTCCCTTGCACACAATTTCTTCGCTCCGGTCCAGTCAGGCGAAGCATCTTTAGGATATACCCACCATCCCGTTTACTTGACCGATGTCACTGGTCTAAAAGACACCATCACTCGTCGAAGCAGTCGAAGCAGTCGAGTTTCTATAGAGCTTCTTGGCAGCAAAGACCCGTCTTGAAGGTCTGTGCGCTGCGCCTCGAGTGACTGATCAACGAGCACTTGTGACAAGTTTGTTTGGGATCTAGAAGATGGTGGGCTTTGATTGGACGAGGTCGAATTCGGACGACGCAGGGCAAAGGAGATCCGGGATGGTTTTCAAGTCGAATCGAGTTGCCAAATGTTAAGATGGCAGCGGACCGCCGACTTGGGTGCAAAGACAATGGAGATGCTTCCATTGAGGCATCATGCAGGATTGACAGCCGGCTGTTGCGGCTGGAGCAGTTCCGGCTACCCCTTAGGAGGAGGCAAGGGATGACTGGCCCGGCGTCGTCCAGACTGCGGAAACAAGTATTTCTAGCGGTGAGTTAGAATTTTCTACACTGACTATAGCTTGAAGCGAAAGACGTCAGTAGTTTGCCATTCTGCCCTAGAAGTGGGTGCAGTATCGAAGGCATGGGCTGGTTCTGGTTTTGGCAGAAGGGGCTCCGGAAGCAGGAAAATTGACCGTTTTCAAGAGGCCGAGTCAGGTACGGTTCACAAAGCGTGGTGAGCAGTGGGCCCATGGTTCATCTGTCGTCCGCATGATGGAGTCTAGAGGTCATACTACAACTGGGGACAGCGGACCTCGTTCGGATTTTGATACTGTCGGGTATATCCTGTCCCTTGAGAACGAGACACCGTGAGTCGAATAGGATGTTGGAGGTGTAGGAAGACCGATTCGAACTGTGTCTCGTGTGCATCGAGACGCTGACGAGGCACAGTAATTCGATCGAAGACTTACTGGGTTCCTTTGACTTGCAATCGAGTGTCATCATCCCTGAAGAAGCTTGGCTTGAAGGACAGTGACAGTGCTGCGGCTTTCGAGGTTACGACAGCACTCGTAAACATAGTCGGTGTCTCCGACTAGACGTACCCTTGATTGACCGCCATGTCTCGGAAGACAGGAAGCGAGGCGGTAGATCAGGAGGCTGATGGGCGGTTGGGCGAGGATACCGACTTAGTGGTAAGAAAACAAAATCGAAGGAGTGAAAATTAAAGAGAAAAAATTCCAGCGCGCATGTGACAGGCACCAAAGGAGTGCTTCTCGAACTTGTCTCGGGTTTTCTCACTCCTCCCTAGGTTGCTACCAGTCACCCGCTAGAGAATTATGAGTCTGTAGCACGACAGAAGGCGGGCTTGAGGGGCTGCAGCAGCAGCGGCGCTGCGGGCCATTTCCGCCGACTTCAAGAAATCTCGGACCCGTGCGAGCCTCGCCGTATCCTAAGACTAGCGTAGGTTCGTAATAACCCGAAATAAATGTGTAATTTGGGAGGACAAGTCTTTTGACGGGAATGTTCCCTAAGCAAGTTACCTTACTCGCAAGCAAGTACTTGTGGGAGTGTACGCGGCGCTGTAGTTGAAACGACTCTCTCACTCTCTCTGTTCTGACTGTAGCCTTCGTGAGTGTTTTTGGAGGTTGGCGCTCAGAAATTCGCGAACGGCCACAGTCACTCAAAAAGCAGCAGCAGCAGCTCGACAATACAGGGGGAGATGAAGCTCCAGGTGGTATCCTGTAGGTTTTGCTGGTTCTGGTAAAGTCGCGTGGGATTACTTTGGAGGAGCTTTATCGTCAAAGCTGTCAGCCCTCGCTTGTGGTTGGTTGGCGGTCTCTTATCAGCGGTTGAGCTCGCGTCCTAGGACCTTATCCCCCGCACCCTCCGTGCCTCCCCTTTCCTCTCTCTCCGGTACCAGCTAGGAGGAGCTGAGCAGGACGGGCGGTGACTGTCACCGAAATGCAACAGGCCGCTGGGTGCGGTAACAGCTCGTAATTAGGCCCGTTCGTGACTGACTTTTGCGGCGGCAGAGGGGGCAGAAAGGCGGGGTTGATTCACCGCTTTCTTCATTTCTCTTCATCAGCGCCAAGCTGGATCTCGTTGCTCTCAGTGACAGTAGTTGGTCCTCTTTGGGGCCATTTCGGCATTCATGAAACCATTCAAACTGCGGCTAACGAGTGCCTCCTAACCCAGCCTGACCAGGCAGCTCCTACTAGGGTAGGTGCTTGAGCGATGCAGCCGCCAGCGGCATAGGGGGAGGCGTTCGTGTAACGTTCCGTGGGCCATCACGAGATGGTGGCCCCGATTTAGTCCGATTTGAGGGTCTCGACTTGCTGTGTACTTGAGGAGCGAAAAAAATGCTGTCTGCATGGCACCCGTGCCTAAGTGAAGCATCAATCGATGAAATGACTCTGTAACCGAGTCCACGGATGAGTCGAGATTCGTGTCTGTCAAACTCGGGGGCCAATCATTGCTTCTTCCCTGAAGAAAATTATTGAAAACAAAGGCCAGAAGAAAGCACGACCCAGGCCAAGCAGGGTGATGTCACTCTAGTGCTTCGAGGGAGTATGGCTGAATCAATACCCGCTTTAGCTGCGAGTGCTGTCTGCGGTTCCGAAGTGCCAGACGCCCAGTCAGTCAGGGTCCAGGGGGTGTGTAAGTTGTAAGTGGCAAAAGAGAAGAGGGTGGCAGGGGAAACTATGGTCGCGAGCTGGGAGGTTTGAGGAAAAGGTACAATTGGCTGCGAGCTTGTCAGTCGTTGCTCAGAGCTGCTAGAGAGAGGGCTGACTAGCCATGAGCGATTGTTTTCCGTACGGATAACCAAGGTATTGTTTGACTGCCTGCCATTGGTAATCCGGTCTGACTTATTCAAGTAAGCTGATACATGGCCCCAGGGGAGGTAAAAAGGCCGAGAGAAATGGTAGCGCAAAGGCGGCATTTGAACAAGGCTTCTTGGTTCTCTGGCCGAGGAGCTCTCTCTATTCTTTGAGCAGGCGCCACCTCGGTGAAAAGCCGTGGTTTCGGGATGCAGCTGGCAGCTTGTGCTTATTTCCAAAGAGGTTGGTTGAGAAGACTTTTGTGGATCAGGTCAGCCTGCAGGTTTAATTTTTTCCTATTGATCTCAACATCGGATTCTGGTGTCGGCCGGCCGGCTTTGGGAGTTGAATTTTTTTTTCGCTTTTGGTTGAACTTTTTTTCTTCCTTTTTTTCTTTTTCTCGTTGCTGGATAGAATCTGCCGATTGTTGATAGGTCGAGGTGAAGAGGATGCAAGGCGAAGAACTGGAGGGTCCTCGCGCCGAATGTGGGGACCTTCCCTGGCAATTTCAACACGTACCCCCCTCCACCCCTTGTCTGCGCCGGGCACAGCTTTATTCATCGCGGCATGGGGCGGAAGGAGAAAAAAAAAAAGAGCAAAAAGTTAGGTAGGTACCTGCTCGTACCTGCTTAATGGAGAAGTATTCGTGCGTATTTGAGACCTTGTCCGTTATGACTTTCACCATGTCAACAAGATCAAAATTCAATTCCTCTAGCTTGACATCTAGATCCCCGGCAGCTTCGTTGCATCTAGACATGATAAGGTAGGGCAAGGTAGCTGTGGATTAGAGGCAGGTTGACGTGCTGAAGAGCTCCCTGGGCCCTGCGTAATCCTAGTGTAGCGGCAATGGAGCTGCATCGCAGAAGAGGACAAAGGAAGAGTATTACTTACAGATTAAAAGACAGACAGGAAAAAAAAATTGTCGTTGCAGATATCCACATCTCTTTTGACCTTCACCGTACGGACCACACATCAGGCGTGCTGCATGTATGTATCCGTCCTCCGTACATATTCTTTGTCTTCTTCTCTTTCTCACTCGTCCCAAGCTGTCCTAATTCCCACCCCATCAAATCCGCCTTCCCTCTCCGCTTGTGGAGCAGACGATTCGCGCCAACGTCCACGGGTCGGGGGTATAGTCTCCACCGAAGCGTGCTTTGAAGACGCTGCAGAAGCTACACATACCACGGACTTGTTGCAGCTCCAGGGTTCACCTTTGCAAAAAAATGCTTCCAACTTGTCAAGGCAAGGCAAGGGCCCTGCATGTAGTGTACGAAGTAGTGTATGATGTGGGCGGTGTCTTGGTGCTTCGGGCTGCCTGATGCCGACCCGACGAGGCAGAAGCAACCTCATCCTCGCTCATCTTTCTGTTTTCCCTCCGTGTCTCTCATTCCCTCCTGTCTCTGCTGGCCCTCTGCTGGCCCTCTGCTGGCCCTCCGCTGGCCCGTGTCCCCGTTACCAATGCCCAACGGCAGCCCCGATCATGCTTCTCCTTGTAGAAAGGACCGTTCATCGCTTTTATTCCGGAGATTTGGTCTGGGCCTGCTCATCTGGCCACGGCAATGCAATCGCAAAGCGGTAAAATTAGCTCTTGAACTGTTCAAATACTGTCCATATTTATGCGCAAAGAGTAGCTATGCTGGGCTGCGTTGTGCACATTGTTCGCCATGTGAAAAAGCACGAAAGGGAAGAGCTCAGCATCGGCAGGTATGAATAGTCACATAGTCAAAAGAAAGCCTCGCTTCGCTTAGAGGTACACGCGCAATGCTATCCGCACTTGCGGGTACAGCGTATCTCTGAAGTCTGTGATTGCCCAGGGAGCTACGAAGACAGTTAGGTACACCACCTTAGGTATTACGGAGCAGAGTACACCACTTGGAGCCCCTACCCGTTAGCTGGGATGTCAACGTGACGACCAGCGGGGATCCAAGCAGCGCGCAGACGTTGACCGAGGTCAGGACCACGGCCGACCAGTAAGCGGAGGCGAAAATGAACCAGGGGTCCAGCTCCGCTATGCTGCGGGAGGAGGAGGAGGAGGAGGAGGAGGAGGAGTGAGATGGGCGAATGCAAGCTACCCACGAAGTACCCTCCACAGAAACACCACGCCGCAGCAAGACAAGGCAAGACGCAAGACATGCGGGCAACAAGAAGCCTTTCGCCTTGGCCTCGGAGCTTGAATCCGTGAAGCATCCTTTTGGCATATGAGTACTCGAGGATGAAGTGAGTTGGGTATCCGTATGGAAGGCATGATTGTGCTTCCAAGTTCGGATCATGGAGCGACGGGAATTGGCAACGGTCGGTTGAAGGGTGGGGCGAGCAAGGCGAGCAAGGCGAAGAAGTCAGAATGGTCAAGCTTGGGGTCAGTGGTGGTGACAGACTTTGCGAGTTACTTCCTGGTGCCAGCCCTGAGAGCCGTTGGTAAGAAGGCACGACCGGGAAGGAAAAAGGAAAGGAAAGAGGCAGGCACAGGCAAGCTTGCTCAACTTTCAAGAGCTCCCCTGTGATGCGGTAAGGGCCTCTTTCCTCTGTCAACCACTCGCAAGCTCCGAAAAGAAAGAGCAAAGCAAAGCAGCCCACTTCCTGCCCTGCTCACACCCCACCCCCCTCCTTCTCTCCTTCCCCTTGCTGTTGCTCTCAGTCTTGCTCTTGCTGTTGCTGTTGCTGTTGCTCTTCTTGCCCCTCCCCGCTACCTTCCTGCTCCTGCTCGTCCACCACAGGTTGTCAATTGCTTCCCTGTCACACCCCCTCCTTCTTAATCCTCGACCTCATCCTGCTCCTCCTCCTCCGCCGTGCAAGTCCTCCACCCGATTGTCTCGACTTGAATCTTGCCTGGTTCTGCATCCACGCCCCCTGCCTCGTTCTCGTCCTCTTGTCCTCCTTTTCCCCTTCTTCTTTCATCCCCCTCTTTCCTCTAACCCTGGGGTCAACCAAGCCAATCCAATCCAATCCACCAGACACACTCGATCCCCGATCGAGTCATTGATCTCTTCCACCAACGCCAACCAATTGTCGGCTCTTGACATCGTCGGCGGGTCGACTTGCCGACCTTTTCCCTCACCTTACAGTACGTATAGGTACGTCTTTTTTCTTCCCCTGTGCTTCTTGACTGGAATGCTCTCCATCCATTCCACTGCTGACCCCCCGAGCTTTCGGGTTACCCTCCTGTCATTGGAAGATGACGCCGTCGCCCGGTGGTGGTACCTTGAATGAGCACCAAGCTGGTGTCGGTATTTAGTAGCTATGCCGGATCTTCCAAGCACCCAAACCCAAGCAATGGCGGAAGCGGCAGCGGCAGCAACAGCAGAAGTAGAAGAAGGGACTCGCGGTCTTACGGGCGTCAACTGGTTATGGCTGCCGCCATTCTCGGACAAGTCAGGCACCTCGTCGTGCAATCTTTTTTTCATCCAACAAAGAGAAGAGGCTGAATGACTGACTCGAGAAGAAACATCTTGTTACTCGTCTCTCGGAGCAATACGTTTAGTCCATCGGACTTGTTTCCAGGTTCAACAGTCCAGCCCAATGAGCCCAGTGTCATGGAAAGCTCGGCCTCGGCGACCAGCCGTGTGGCACTTGCCATGCAACGAGCTGGCGAAGCCGACTAGATCCTTCTGAAGCTGGTGGTGATGAAGCTTCAAAGCCTCTGCTTGGCTGGTCACTTACACCATCTCGCGTCACCGTACCGACCGCCGCCGCCTCCGCACCTCAGAACAGTGCTCTTCTACCAGCGGCAGATGGTAAAAAATGTTGATTACTCGTAGCTGACAGTCTGGCGACTGGTGACACTGACGCCGTCTGCCCCGGGCCCAACCTTGAGGTGGACTTAGGTTCACCTAACCATGCGACGAATACCAAGTCTTACCTCACAGCTTGTCAGCTGTTCACCTCTGTCGCTCCCCAAACCGACTACTTCCTTGCTCCTTGTACCTTCCGGCCACACCCTCGCTCGTCCGTCTCCTTATTCGCGGCTGATAATATCCCTTTTCATCTGCATCTTTCATCACATCTGCTTCAGGTGTGCTGTATCCGTAGGAGCAAGCCCAGAAGCAGCATAGGTCCAGGCACAGAAAAGGTACGAGCGCACAACTCAATTATGATGGCAACACTTTCGGCGTGCGAAGCATGCAAGGTAGGCAGTGTAGCCAGAAGCCTTTCCTATACTACAACATAGGTATCCGTAGATCGAATTGGAGCTGTATTCGTCGGCGGCTTGTGGATCTTGTCTTGCTCTCGTCGATTCAGCCAGTGCTTACCTACCTACCTTTACTCTCTGATGTCCAAGACTAAGGCAGAGTAAGTACATGAACGAGTGAGTGAAGAACAGGCAAGGTTTTGCCAGACTCCAAACCAAGCTCCCTCCTTGCTCACACACCTTGCTATTATCCGTCCGTACTTCTTTTTGCCTAGCCGTGTAAGTAGGGACTCATTTGGCTACAGATCATGCTGCGTAATACCCGACCTTATGTGACTGGGCTGCGACCATGATGTACCTGGGTGAGCAAGGTAAGGCAAGGCAAGGTAAGGTAGCTTGTCCTGACCTGACCTGACCTGGACCTGCCCTGGGTACCTTCCATGAGATACCCACCAGACCGAGCCACACCCCTACCTAGCCCGTCCAGTACCTCTCTTTTCCCCATTACCTCTGCTTACTGCTTTCGGTCAACTTCCCTTCTGCCCCCCAAAATCAGGTTCCTCCTCTTCCTCTTCCTCCCCGTCCTTTCCTCCCCCTCCATTACACCTTGTTCTTCGAAACACTCTTTGTAACACGCCTCAAGTCGAGAGCTTCCAGAGCTCCAGACTCTTGCTCACCGAATATCGCAGCCTTTTGTCGAACCAACAAATGCTCAAGCTCCAACATCTTCAGTCGCCTTCAATTGACCTCGCTTCGCGATACGCTACGACAGTAACAGCACTTATCGCTCCTCACCCCGCTCAGTATCGATACCAGCCCTCAAGCGCATGGTGGGGTCAAGATGCCGCCCAGATCTTCTCTCACGTCTTCCTTTTCAATCACCGACTCCAACAATGAGGTCGTCTGCCCTCTGCGGAATCAGGATGGATCTAGCTGTAGGAAGAGATGCATCGGTGTAAGTCTCGTCGTGCTGCCTGCATTGCCGCATTGCTCCCTCACGACGCCCTCTTCGCCACAAGCAGACCAACACTGCCCCCGTCTGCGCTGCTGCACCTCTCTACTTGGACCCAGTGCACAGAGAGAGCTTTGATTACTACAGCAAAAAATCCACTCGACCAAGAGAAAATTGAGAGCGCTACTCTGACACTTGATAAATTCCTAGGAAAAACGATATCGTTCTATGCAAGAGCACATTCGCCGCGCTCATCCAGAGCACTACATTTCGAAGCTCCCAGCGACCGAGGAAAGCTTCATGCTCATGATCAACACGCCTCCGTCCGAACGTCCAATGCAGCAAAGCGCAACTTCTGTTCCCCAGGGTTCGTCCCTCTCAGTCCAGGGCTATCCCCCAAAGATTGACCATCTTCAAGGCTTCAATCACGACCATCACATGTATGATAACAGCAACCCGGGCACGCCTCGAACCATGGACGACCACGCTGTTGGTTCCATGCTCCCCGCAGCCAGTGCTGCTGCGGCGCTGGCCCAGCTCCACGGTCACAAAGTCGAACCCGAATGGGAGGAAATGGTGAGCTAGAACATCCCCTCCTGACTGACTTACAAACTCAAACAAAGATTGCTAATCAAATGTGCGCTACTAGGGTTGGCACTCAGACACGGAGGGACGCCGCATTCCAAGGACATCAATTGAGCTGCCTCCGCTGCACTTGACGAATAACGACATTACTAGCGAGCCATTCCCAGCTATGAACTCGAGTCGGCCACGGGATATTCTGCCGTCAATTCTGGCGAATTCGCCCCCCGGTCGCTCTTCGACATTACCCCCAATCCAGCGGCCTGCTGTGGGACCTGCCAGACCAAGGAAGCAGTCCGTCACCAAGAGAGGCCGAGAGGCGCACCACAAGAAGCAGAAGTCTCGCGGCTCGGCAGCAGACTGGCTTCGGCGAATCCAAAACGACGAACGGCTTAGACCAGGTAATAATGACCGTAAGGCGTTATCGGCTGAACCTTCTGCAGACTATGGGAAGAGATGGGAAGATCTCATCGATGCCGCCGATCAAGCTGCATCCGCTGCCGGCGACATCGATGAGGACAGGACTCCAGTAAGAAGCTTTCGTGCACTCACATCTTTACATCCTCTGACCTTCATTCAGATGCCTCAATCACCAGTTTCTATTCACAGGGCTTCTTTGCCGCCATTCCAGCACCATGGATTTCCATCAGCGACAGCTGGAGGGAACTATCAAGCCTCGCCATTACAGCAGGCCTTGACCCCGCCATCCTACAGCCAGGACACAATTGATCCATTCCCATCGGTTGAAAGCGGTGAAAGCGGGGAGAACTTCCACATCGAGTCGCGAGGCCTATCGGATTCATCACCAAGTTATTCTTCTCAGAATACCCAGATCTACTGCGCAGCCTGTCAGAGCGTTTCACTCCTCAAGGACTCATACGCCTGCACGGAATGCATCTGCGGTCTGTGCCAGGCGTGTGTCGACGTTCTCATGGCAGAGCAGGGGGCTCGCCGCAAATGCCCCCGTTGCGCAACAATCGGCGGCCGGTTCAAGCCGTTCCAGCTTGACATCCGGTGATTATTATGTCTTGTCAACGACCATCATGCATACGTTACGCACAAATATTCGAACTCTGAAGCCCACAAATTGCATTTGAAATCACACACGGCGTCTTGGATGGGGCCAATGCGCATATACAGCATCAAAGCTTGGCATAAGGATTCACCGCATCGATAATACCCCCGGCGTTGCAACTTCGCGAGAGCTTAGACAGAGAGCTTTTCACGAGCCGGTTTCTCCACATTCTTTACATTATTATAGGGACTAGTGACTCGTGACAGTCTTGGATAGGTGTGGTTCTCTCTTTTTTCTTGATGCTACGGGCAGAGTATGGGATATCAAAACGATTACAGGATTAAGGGTCGGCTTGCACGTCGTTATGATCTTGCTCTTTTTTTTTTCTTTTTTTTGGCTTATTGATATTTCGTTCTGGGTGGGTACAGGCAAACTGTTCTTGAGGAGTACTCAACTGGTTTATAGATGCCAGTCATGAAATTTAAATCAATCTTTAGCTATAACAATGAACTTTCTGATCATGGGTATCATTCAAAACTCGTCTTTGTCACTAATGTATACAAGAAGCAAAGGTGGATGGATAGGCTCATCATCATCATCTTCTCGAGTCCTTCTCCTTTTCTTTCTTCAAAAGCAAATCGCGCATGGCGGCTCTAGCGTTGCGACTACCGCCCAGCTTCGGACCCTTGAGGACTTCTTCATCGGCCTTGCGAGCCCCGGCGCGGGCCGCCGGCGCTGCCGTCTTCTTCTTTTGTTGGCGCTGCACCATGGCGTCCATGAACTCGCGCCGGAATTCCTCGGCGATGCGGTCGTCTGCGTCGCCGTCGCCTTCGTTTTGGGGTTCCTGTGGTTTGGGCACGTCGTAGACGTCGACTAAGTAAGGGTTTCAGGTTAGCATATGCTTTGTTGGTCCAATTGAGGGGGAAGACTGGCAAAACTCACGTCTGTTCTCGCGCAGAATCTCCTCGACGAGCTGGTCGCGCTTGATGTCGTCGCTGGTGCGCCGATTTCTGGGCCGCCAGGGTTTACCGTCCCTGCCGAGGCGGGGTTTCTTGGCTCGCCGGCCGCCGGTATCTTCGTCGACGGCTTCGCCTAGGAGGCGGCGGGCTGCCTTTTCCGTCATGGCTTGGTTCCGAGCGCGGACTTCGTCGCCGAGGTCGACTTCCATGAGTTTCCCTTGCATGATGGGGTGGTTTTTGGGGTCTGGGAGTTCGGCTGGTCCGGCGGAGGGTGCTGATGTTGACGGATTGGTGACGGCGGCGGCGGCGGCTTGGTGTTGGGAGGAGGTTGATGGTTCGGATGGTGGTGGTGGGGGGTTGCGGTTAGAGAGGTGCGATTCTATGTATTCCATCCTTGCTTGATCAGCCTCTGGGCGTCGGCGGGCCTTAGAGATGTGGAAGGAGATCCCTCGGGGGGCATACATACATGTGTTTGTTGACGATTGTAGTCGCTGCTGCGCCGGTCTGCGGCGCGAAGCGCTTTGCGATGAGGGGGTCGTCGTCTGGGGTTTGTGCTGTGGCGGGAACCAGTGCGTGCGATAATGATGACGATAGGCTCACGGGGTCTGTATCGTCCCCGGCGACGAGAGTCGTTGCGCCTCGCACGGAGAAGCCTACGCCGTTGAGTCGCTTACGAGCGCGGTGACGGAGGGCGGAGGGGATATTCGCTTCGGGGCCATCGTCGGCGGTGATCTCGGTGGCTGATGCCGGTGTCGTGGTGTTTTCTGCTGTCGAATTTGATTTCGAGGCTACGATGGTGTCGTTGTCGTCGTCGGCGGTGGGCGATGCGGCGCGTTGGCGGAGGCCTGCTTTGCGCTTCCTGTTTGCGCGGAAGAGGATCGGGGCCGGGGCCGGAGTCGCGTCTGTGGCTGGGGATTCGTCGGCGGGTGGCGCCATGATGATGTTGATATGAGCGCCGGGGCGCGTTACTGGTGTTCTATGCGCTGGTTTTGAAATTTGGCGGGCGTCCTGGGTGTGGCGTATTTTGGATGTTGATTTCGAGGATGTGAAAACAGGTGGATGTGTATGTTGTAAGTCGAACGTGGACTGAAAGCGCAAATTCGCCTGGGCGATTGAGGCCGCGCCAGGAAACTCCACCTTTGCAGAATGCCGAGGATTAGCCTTTCGATAATGGGTTAGACAGGGGGGGCGGTCAGGCATGGAAGTCCAACCCGCTGGCATGGATGTCATCGGTGTGACGGTGTCAACGACCCCCACCAGGTTGGTTCCCGCTTTTTGTCTTTGCCCACGGCAAGCATGTCGCAAGAGCTCGAGGGGGGGAGCTCCGAGCTACTTTTAACCTCTGTGCATTCTCACTCTCTGAGCACTCACAACTTCATCTACAGTCGTTGAAAATCGGACCCGAAGTCAACATGGCGAAGAGAGTACGCGATTCCCCCGCAGACATGTTTTAAGAGATACTGACGGGAAATTAGATATACTTTCTGGCCCATGGCGGTCAAGTACAAGGTACGTTTCTTGCAGCCCCTCCCTCCCCTCCACATGAGCTCCGAGCTTTTATCTGGATAAGAAGGAGGGGTGTGAGCTTGTGATAAGTGACTTTTTTATATCGGGACACACTGACGTCACAAATCCAGGTGTCGGATTCCGGTATGTGATGGAAATTTTCGTCAATACGGGTTTTCAATTTTGGTTGAACCAGTCTGGTGTCAATTGAATTGGCAATGTCAATCTTTGTGAGGATGTGATATTGACGAATCGATGCGGTTGATAGGTACTTTACGCAGAAGAGAGCCACCGAGTATGGTCTCACGGGATGGTGTCGCAACACTGATAATAACAAGGTGAGTTTTGAGTACTTAGTGTCTCTTGTCCACCGTTTCTCGGGGTTCCCGTTCGAGATGTGATTCACACGACGTTGCGCTACTGGAAAACACGACTACTGACATATGATGGAACGCAGGTCGAGGGTGAAGCGCAAGGCGACGAGGATGCGCTGAAGAAGCTGCTCAAGGACATTGACGAGGGACCGAGATCAGCCAGGGTTGTCAAGCTTGACCAGGAGGAGAGAGATCTTGTTCAGGACGAAAAGGACTTTGCGGTACGACGATGAATTATCGTTTGAGTGACTTCTCTTCGATGAACAAGGTTGGTAAGAAGACTAGGATTGAGAGGGTAGGTGGTGAAAAGGGGCAGAACATTGGCACGCTACCTTTATTATCGCTTTAGAGCCTATGGCTGTGTCGTAACAACTTTCTTTGCCTGAAGGGAACCTTGCTTGCTCAGTAACACGATAAGCATGTCTCGATGACACTAGACTTAATACAGTATCCACTATATTCACCGCAAATGTATGACTTGAGCAACGTGTTCTGCTTGTCGATCAGGTAGAACAGAGACAGACTGGTATGCTACAAGCCAAGCCCACGTTCCCCCCTCTCAGCTTGCTCTAGGGTCAAGACCGTTAGAACACGCGAAGGCAGAGCGCCCCATTACCAAGTGCCATAATCATTATAGCTATAATGCGTGAAGAAATAAGAAGACCGCAAGTTTACAAATCAGCGTTCTTTACCTCTTGGAGAGTGATTTTCCTTCTGGATCATGACCTTACGGAACACAAGTGGGCGCGTTACCGTCCCCTTGGAGACTGCAAAGATGATGGCATGACAGAGCTGATACAAAAAGGGCGCAAGATGCGAGACGGTCCATACTGTTAACCACAGCGACATACCTGTTCCGCCAAGAACGCCAGCACGATCTTTTTCCCAGGGCATCTTGCTCTTGCCTGAGTACTACTTCAGGTCAAGGTTCAGGCTGTTCTGCATTGCTTTCTTCAACAACTTCGAGTTCGTGTCACCCTGACCTCTAGTTATGTTGCCCTTCTTCAGGAACCCCTTCACCAGGGCCTCGCCCCTTGCTGTCAGTATCAGTGAGCCCCCAAGTGCGTTAACTACACCAGTCCGTCGGCGCCTCTACTCCTCCAGCACTGTCTCATGGGTATTACCGCTAAGTTTAACCCAATACATGCTAGATACTAGAAAAGGACGGGCGTCGTATGGACTTATGGGCTCGTATTTCACCTAAGCCAGCTTGAAGCGAACCCGAGATACGCGCCGCGCGATTGCTTCAAGCATTGGTTTCTTGGCTGTGGGAGAGCTGACTGTTGACGTCTTCGCACAAACCGCAACCTTGCCACCACCGCGCATCAACCCAATTATAATCTCGAGCGTCAAACACACCTCATCGATTCAGCATTCTTTGCCCCAGGGTAGTCAAATCGATGTCTTACAGAACAACAGTGGCGCGATACCGTTTCACTTGAGGCTACAGAGACATTAGATTTACTATAAAAAGGCCTCAAGATTCGATGTGTCCTGTCCTGGTAAACACAACGACAACTGGCGATACTGGTTTCCGCCCAGGAGAAGTACGGGCTAACAGAGACTTTAGCGGTGTGCCCATCTATGATACCCATGGGGCCACTCGAACGTTATGAACATCACCATATCACTTCAACCTACGTCGGCCTGTCAGCATTGCTATCCCTCCTGCCCTGCCTCGTAAGTACTATCCCTAGGCTTTGCGGACTACACTACAGACACTGGAAAACGGCCAAGGTTCCTCGGAACAAGGTTGGCCACATGGGATTTTCCGAGAGCGATTAGCACGAGTCCACCGCCTGGTCGAACCCGAACGCAAAAGGGTGGTCGCTGCGTGAACACTTCCTACGTTTTCGACTTCCAGAATGTCTACAAAGACACGCCATGGTTGCTCCTGATCTATATATCAGGTTAATGCCAAAATTCTAATCTTGGGTTTTTATGGAAGCACGGTAGGTATCTGATAAGTAGTGGGAAATGCTCAATTGATCAATTGAAACTGCTGAGCTGATTCCACAAAGGTCTTACGATGAGCAAGTCCCTGCAAAAGCCTTCTGGCATTCCCTAACATTCGTTCCGGAGGATATAGAGTCAACCAGCAATAAGAATCATCAATACTTTGGTGCTCACGTCAAGTATTTCGCGTCTTGACACTCTTATCTTACATGACTTTGCTCACACTAAAATGACCATCGCCTTTCACGACACTGTATACATGCCTCGTCGCTTTTTCTTTAGTCACCGGGTCTGAAAGCTACGCCGATGAACAAGGGTTCAGCCTCACGGAATTCAAACCCATCCGGGATACATAGATTCTATCCAGAACACCAAAAGATAAAAGGTCGCTAAACGCCTCTACCCCTTCGCTTAATAACAGGCTTCCTCACAGCCCCATGCGTAACAATCTTCTTCCCCCCAGCCACCGCCGCCGCACCCCCTCCAGTCCTCCTCCTCTCCAACCTCTCCTTCTCCGCTTCCAACCGGTCCGCCTCCCTCTTCTTATCCTCGGCCATCTTGGCCTCAATCTCCATCTTTCGGTTAAACTCCGTCTCGGTAATACGCTTGTCCCGGACAGAGTACCCCTTCTCCTTGACAGAGTAAAAGACGCCGCCCAGATCGGCGAGCCAGTGCGGGTCCACCGCCGTGACGGTCGACACGTACACTTTCGACGTCAGGATGAGCTCGTGGTAGACGACGTAGTCGGGCGGGTGGCCCGCGTACAGCGCCGACGTCGGGTGCAGCTGGACGCCTAGGTTGGTCCGCAGATTAATATACTCCCCCGAACCCTTGTACTTGGCCGCCTGGTGATAGTAGCCACTGCAGATGCACTTGCGGATGACGTCCCAGTCCATGCCGCAGCTCAGCATCTCCATCTTTTGCATCTTCATGATGTCGAGCAGCTGGTCGCGGATCTCCTTTGCGCGGCGGAGCGACTTGGGGTGCAAGAAGTGCTTGATGCACCACCCGTCCGAGCAGCCGTTGGACCGCCACGCCGAGTACACCTGTAGATACGTCAGGTGGTCCGACTCGTGGACCCAAAACTTTTCGCGCTGGGCGTCCGCCTCGTCCTGGCGTTCTTTGGGTCGGTAAAAGACGTTGGGGACGGAGAGCATGGACACGATGGTGATCATCTCCTCGCTGCAGCCGTATTCCTCGGCTGTGATGAGGAGCTTGGAGAGGGACGGGTCCATTGGGAACGCGCTCATCTTTCGACCGAGCGTGGTCAATTCCCCCAGGTTATCCAAGGCGCCCAAAGCCCACAGATCGAACATGGAAGTCGTGATGGTGTCTTGTGGCGGGGGGTCCATAAAGTCGAAATCTAACAGATCCTTGACGCCCAGGGACTTGAGCATGAGCACGGTGTTGCTCAGATTCGTACGCTGGATTTCGGGAATCGTCTGCATGTAAAGTTCCTCTTTGAAAGCCTTCTCCGTGAACAGTCGGAAAGCCTTTCCAGGTCCTGTTCGACCGGCACGTCCTGATCGTTGCGACGCGTTTGCTTGGGAAATTGGCGTAATCTGAAGAGTGTCCATACCCATCTTTGGATTGTACACCTTCATCTTGCTGTACCCAGCATCCACCACGTACTTGATACCGTCGACCGTCAAACTCGTCTCGGCGATATTCGTCGCAACAATGCACTTGCGCACACCGGGCGCCGCGCGGTCGAAAATTTTCGCTTGCAAGTCTGCCGGCATCTGACTGTAAATGGGCAAGATACTCAGCTTCGGCGGGTCGTTGAGAGCGTCGAGCCGTTTCTGGATCAGCTCACAGGTGACCTCGATATCCTCCTGTCCCGTCATGAAGACCAAGATGTCACCTTGGTCCATGGACACATGGATAGCCAGGACCTGCTGAACCGCTTGATCCACGTAGTCCTCGACTGGTGACCTGTGGAACATGACATCGACGGGGAAAGTTCGGCCTGGGATGATGAACTCCGGCGCTCCACCGTAGAAGTCGGAGAAGCGCTTCGCATTCATCGTCGCAGACGTGACGATGAGCTTCAGGTCTCGCCGCCGCTGAAGAATCTTCTTGAACAGACCCATGAGAATATCCGTGTTGAGAGCTCTCTCGTGAGCTTCGTCCATGATGACGCACGAGTACCTGTCGAGATCAGGCTCGTTGAGCGACTCGCGCAACAAGACACCGTCCGTCATATACTTGATGACGGTGTCCTTACTGGTGCAATCTTCAAAACGAATCGCGTAGCCCACCGTGCTACCCAGCTTGACTTCCATCTCCTCAGAGACACGCTTGGCGACACTCATCGCGGCCACACGCCTCGGTTGGGTGCACCCGATCATGCCCAACTTTCCAAACCCGTCTTCGTAGAGGAACTGCGTCAGCTGCGTCGTCTTGCCGGATCCCGTCTCGCCCACCACGATGATGACTTGGTTCTCCCGGATGACACGCATCAGGTCCTCTCGAACGGCAAACGCAGGTAGGTACTGCCTCTGCTCGCGCAACGTCTTGCTCCGACTGAAATCACTGCTGCCCCCATCGTCCTTTTTCATATGATCGCTGAATTTGTTGCTGTTCTCGTTCGTCTCCTCCGTCTCCCCTCCCTTCTTCGCATCGTTCTCCGACGCCATAGGCAACGCGCTGTCACCATCGTCCTCCTTCACGCCCATCAAATTTCCCAAAGCCGTTCCAGCCATGCTTGTAGCCTCCTGAGCCTGCCGCTGCCGTTCCCGCTGCTGACGTGACTCCTTCACCACCTTGCTTCCTTTCCGACTGAACACAGCCATATCACTCTGGTAGTCGCGGACAGCCGGCACAGGCTCCAGCTGCTTCGTAAAAATGGTCCGTCCATCGAGGAACGGAGGTCGCAGGTCGTGCACCAACAGATGAACTCTCGTCGCCTCCTCGTCGTCGAAATCGGCACCCATATCCCTCCTCTGCGCGACACCCGAAACGAGCATGCGATTCGTCTCCCACGCGTCATTTTCCCTCTGCCTCTGCTCCCTGCGCGCGTCGAAGCGCCCCGTCATCTTTTCGGTCTTGGCCGCCTCCTGCTTCTCGGCCTCCCATGACGAGTACGAGGCGAACGGGTTGTGTGTGTCGTCGCCAAAGGTGTGGCCGCCAAACTCGTCTCCCATGTACCAGTCGCGATCCAGCGCTTTCGAGTCTTCGTCGGTGGGTTCGGGAACGTCTCTTGCCGGCGTCTCTGCGGCGCGGGCGTCGCGCGGTGTCGAGCGGCCCGAGTCCTGGAATCGCCCTCCGTCTATCCTCCGGCGCTTGAAGCTGGGCCCTGATCCATCTCTGTTGTCGTACATTTTGTGATTCCTGTGGTGGCGCAATTCGTCGCCTTGGCGTTTCCTGCTCTTGCGTGATTATTGTCTCCGTTGACCCGTCGCCCGAGTAGAGTTTCCTTGGATGTGCGAGGCCCGGCGGGCGTATGTGATAGAATCAATTTCGAGTATCGGAAATGTAGTGAGGCATGCAGTTTAGAATTGCATGTAGGCAGGCAATCGCAAGTAAACAAAGCTTGAGAAATGGGGCCGCACCTTGCCAGACGGTTTAAACGGGTCTGGCTCTCTTATGTGTATATCCGTAACAGACGTCACTGATGGGTCCGATAATGCAATGAACACGACTTAAGCATGGCCTCGCTTTGGGAGATGCAACAATGCCCGCTGATGCTTTGAATTTCTTAGAGAATCATTCAAGTGGAAAAATCTCAATAGTCCACGACCTCGTTTTGAGTATCTAGTAAAGAGCTTCAAATTGAAGCGTGCATGAGTTACCTTAGCCAGCTACCTTACGGAGTACATGTGAGCGAGTTACAAGCCTGCTTCAAAACCTTTGAGGTGTCTTATCGATAAGGACGAGATAAGATAAACCCCACCACGATGGTAATTTTTTTCTCACAGTCGCTCAGAGTCGGTGGATGTTGGAGAATTCGCTTTGCGCATACCAACCCGACTTTTCCCAGTCGATAAGTCTTGATATTTCAAAAGTTGAGCAAATATCCTGCCAACTTCGACAGCCAGCTTGCATTTGAAAGCGTGCGCGCAATATACCCCGTCACAAGTGACTTCCTGAAGAAGCCACTACTGTCTTCAAGATGTCAATGATCACAACATCAACCTGGGTGCCCCGAGGCTTCGCGGCACCATTCCCCTCAAAATACACCTTTGACGAGTCCGAGTATGAGCGCATTGCCGAACTCGCCAAGCTCCAGCTGGACGACGCCGAAGAGGATCTGAGGGAAGCGCAGGACGAGGAGGAGGGCGCCGACAAGCCTGCCGACGAGGATGCGACAACAGGCGCATCTGGCAAGAAGGCCGAGCAGTTAGTCTTGACTTGAACGACCTGCTCGCTGAGAGAGGTTCCGCAGGATATACGTAGTCCGCTAACACCAGACTACCTTGTAGGGTCAATATCAACGACGACGATCTGAAGGAGTACGACCTTGAGCACTACGACGATACCGACGAAGAGGACGAGGAAAGGGTCGGTCAAGGCGAGGGCATGGCCATGTTCGGTAACATCAAATCTCTAGCCTACTACGAATCGAATAAGGATGATCCGTACATCACCCTGCCCGCCAACGGCGGGCCGGACGACGACGATGAGGACCGCGAGGACCTGCAGATCCTAGCGACCGACAACCTCCTGCTCGCTGCCAAGGTCGAGGACGAGATGGCTCACCTTGAGGTCTACGTCTACGAGGACGCCGCCGACAACCTCTATGTTCACCACGACATCATGCTGCCCGCGATCCCCCTTTGCGTTGAGTGGCTCGACATTCCCGTTCAAAAGGCCGGCGTCGACAAGGACTCGACGGCCAACTTCGTCGCCATCGGCACGATGGACCCCGATATCGAGGTCTGGGATCTCGACACGGTAGACTCCTTGTACCCTAACGCCATCCTCGGCCAGGCCGGCGAGGGCTCAGAAGAGAAGAAGAAGCAGAAGAAGAAGAAGAAGGCCAAGAAAGCCAATGACGAGTACCACGTCGATGCCGTCCTCGCCCTTGCCGCGAACAGAAAACACAGGAATCTGCTGGCCTCTGCCTCCGCAGATAAGACGGTGAAGCTTTGGGATTTGCACACGGCCAAGTGCGCCAAGTCATACACCTACCACACGGACAAGGTGTGCTCTCTCGCGTGGCACTCGGTCGAGTCCACTGTGTTGCTGAGTGGCAGCTATGACAGAACAGTTGTCGCCGCAGACATGAGAGCTCCCGAAGCCAAGGCCCCTAGATGGGGTGTTGAAAGCGACGTCGAGAACATCCGCTGGGACCCTCACGACCCCAACTACTTCTACGTCTCCACGGAAAACGGAATCATCCACTTCAACGATATTCGCAATGCGCCGTCAACCCCTGAGGCGACCAAGGCCGTATGGACCTTGCAGGCACACGACGAGTCTGTTTCGTCCTTCGACATCAACCCCATCGTGCCCGGCTTCATGGCCACTGGCTCAACGGACAAGACGGTGAAGCTGTGGAACATCCAGGCCAGCGGCCCTTCCATGGTTGTCTCTCGCAACCTGGACGTTGGCAAGATCTTCTCGACGCAGTTTGCGCCCGATTCCGAGGTGGCTTTCAGACTCGCCGTTGCTGGCAGCCGCGGAACCATGCATGTATGGGACACTAGCACCAACGCCGCCGTTCGACACGCGTTCGCCGAGCGTGTCCCGCAAAAGCCGGAGGGCGTCGAGGAAGACCGTCTTGTTGGCGTTCTTGATGATGATAGCAGCTCCAGTGAGGACGAAGGAGAGGAGGGTGAGCAGGATGGCGATTCGATGGACGAGGATGAGGACTAGGGTAGACGCTAATCAACATGGATGGTGGGCCTTTCACATGTGTTGTCAGATGTAGCCTGCTCGCTGTCTGACCCAAGATCGCCAGGGGAATTTTCCCGCAGGCTTGGCCAGATGGATCGAAACCGCAGGCCCAAATAGTCTCCGGCGCCCGCCCAAAACTTAGAAACTCGTAGGCCACAAACATCACACTGATGATGACGACTCTGGGCCGGCGTTGTTGAAAACAGCGAAGGAAGTAGACGGCCTGTATCAATCAGGTGGAGAACAGCCTTTCAGTGTAGAAGTTAGTCTCAAGTCGTCCGAAGTTAAATGCCGTCGTCTGAACAGCATCAAGCATGGACCACATTAGTTTCGTCGACATATGTAGCCAAGACTGTCAAACAATGGCCTCAAACCGGGAAAATAGTTGGTGAGGAGCACATCGTCAGAGACTGATATATGTGAAGAGGCTAAACGTGGGCGAGTGAAACCACGACTGCGTGGCCCCCAAAGGTTGTTCAGTGTTCATTACCATTGACTGCTGCAATGGGGTGTCAGTGTCGTGATAGGATGGGAACTCGCTAATTAAGCATGAAAAAAGCGTGGAGGGGGGAGCGGCAACAGCCTGACATCTTCATGCGTAGACATGATGAAGGAGGTGGTGGATCAATATCAGATCTGGGATAAGAGCTGGACCCAGATATTGCTCTAGGTCTGTCGCGGATGCAATCTTTGTTTTTGTTCCTCCGAGTATCGAGCTCAAGCAGAGCCGTGCCCAAGTAATTGTTCGAAGTAGTGTGATGAGAATGTTGCCAGCCAACGATGCCAGTCTGACGGATTCGACGTCGCTGAGGGATTTCTCCTGGCTTCTAGACCCAGAGACTTTGCCTCCTGCAAACAGTCCGGCGAGGAAGAAAAAAAGCAGTTCCTGATCGACTGGTTCCCACACCACCACAAGGCGATTCCCCTGGAAGATGCGCAAGGCCAGCAGAGAGTTGTGTGGTTGCGGGGGCGGATGGGCAAGTGAAATCGCTGGGCCCAAGAGCGCAAGGAGCGCTGACTGGTGAAAGGTCATGAACGTCGACATGGATCCCTGTTCGACTTGCGCAGGCACGCAAGGCACACGGCGCCACTGGGGTGGGATGGCGCAGGATGAAACAGTGAAACTTCAGGGGGGCCTGCCAACGGGCAAGGATGGCGGACGGAACACCCAGCCAATGACGCCTCTGTCTCCGTCTGGTCGAGCTACCACTGGGGCCGGCCGGGAACCACCGGCCACGAGACCTTTCTCGGCTGTTGGGCTTTTTAGTTGACGCTGTCTCGATTCTTGGAGGCGTCGACTCCAGTCACTGGTCCAACAGACAAGAAACCCACAACTTTACAACAGGCTCAACAGCCCAGTCCAGCCCTTCTTTTTTCCTCCGTCCGCGGCGGATCATATCACACTGTTCAGACAGGGATGATGGTGGCTTCCCGGAGAAACCTGGCAGGTTGACGATGCGCCGCGGCTCGCCCATCTTGTATCGCACAATCTTCTGCCAGGATGTGAACGGTGCCGCGTGCGAATCACTCAAAGTTGGCGGGTCGGCGTTCGTCGGGGCCCACGAGTTGATCGAGGTGCCGGTGGATTGGCGATTGTATTGATTAAGAGGTTCGATCCCTACTCGAATACTCCCCTGGTGGTGGCCGTGGTGACTTGGATAGGAACCGTCCATCCGGATAGAGCAGTACGAATGCGTGTTGGACACGTCAAGCCTCTTGAAGAAAGGCTGCTTTCTCTTGTGTGCCGACCAGGAGTTCGTTGCCTGTACGCCGCGCATCGGCGACACGGCAGAGAACACACATGGCGGCCGCAGGCCGACGCTTGTGTAGTTGGCGAGGTGCAGATACGTAAGTGGACGCAGCAGTCGCTGCATCGGACGTAGTGTTGGTATTGACGGCAACGGTCCGTCGACGTTGTGTGGATGTACGAATATGCCCTAACGGTGAAGGATCCAATGAGGCCGACAAGAGCGACGACAATGGCTTGGAAGAGGTGTCAAAGGAGAGCGACTGACGCGCCGGACTGGTCTCGGCTGTGCTGGTCTGACGATGTTGGGCATTCTTTCCAGAAGGCAGATCATCGCAATCCATGATCCGCCCCCTTTTGGTGGCGGCAGGATTGGGTCGACGGTCGACGGTTGTTTGAACTTTGGGCTGACGATTGGCATCGATCCATGTGCCATCCCGCCGTTCGAGTCGTGCCAGCCAAATGTTTCTTGGCGGATGGATGGGCGGCGGTTGTCATGCAGCGAGCCCGGCAGACACATGGTTGCTTCCTCTCCCAAATGGATGGAGGGTCGTGGGCCAAAGCCAGCACACACTCAAATTGAACAGTGGACAGCGAGCATGGATGAGAGTGAGGTGGACGGCCAAAAGGTTGACCGTGGAATAATTGGTACGTATCCAAGGATACTCGGTGGAGAGTGGGGAAAAGAAAAAAAAGAGAAAGGGCCAGGGGTTCGTTGACAAACACAACCTGTCATTGGTGCAGAGGCCATCTCTTTTGGGCCATAGCGTTATATAAGCGGGACATCTTGGTAGACACTGTGAGGAGCAAGGGAGCCTTTCCCTTTCAGTTCGCCAAGTCCCACCGTCGACAGGGGGAGCGCTGGTGAAGCGAAAAGGAAAGACGGCAGGTACCTATGGTGGCATGGCGGCATGGCGCCAGTAATTCTTGCCCACCCCCAAGTGGCAGTCTCCAGTCGTTGGCTCCAGTCCCTGCGAGGGAAGACCGTCCAGAGCCAACCAGAATGGGCGATAGGGCAATCAAAGAGCGACACCCCCAGGTCCCAAAGGGACCCGAGCCCCATTCATCCTTTTTTTCGGCCAGGAACCAGGCCCGGGTCAAGGTTGCGAAAGAGAGGGAAAGCGAGAGTCAGAGAAGGGAAGGAAAGAGAGGAGTACCGTACCTACCTTACCTAGAACCAAGAAAGAGCTACCTCACCTTAAGGTAAGGCAGGTACGGAGTAAGGTACCTACCTTCCCGTACTGGGTAAAGAGGATCGCACCTGCAATATTCAATTATTACTCCCACACGCCCGGCCCTGGTCTGCCATTTTACGCGCCCTCTCTTCTCTCTTTTCCTTCTCCTCAACCTGTTCCATTCCCCATATTGGAAAAAGGATCCTGTCCCTTTCGCTTCTGCTCTAGCAAACACATCATCGCTCCCTTTGTGTTGTGTCTTGTTTCTGTTCTCGCCTTTCCTCTAGACGTCCTCCCTCCCCGGAGTACTCGAAAGCATTACACCTTTGTCGCGGGCTCGAACTTGTACTGCAGATACCACCCACAACTCTCTACCTATCTCTTCATATATCGCGCGACACGTTGAACGTTCATTTTCGGCTAGCTACTACTGCACCGAACCGTCCGTCATTACACACGAACGAAACCACTCACAATCATTTCATCAACCTCATCACACTGAGTCACACCAGGACTCATCACAGCTCACACAGCAACGACATCAAGTTTCAACCGGATCGACACCGACTCATCATACTCCCAAAGTACCCCAGGACTGGACTCCTCACCTATTGTCTCGGACGAATAGCAACACAACGCAACTCTTGCGCAGGATAATCCATCACGGCCAGCCCGTCGTCTTAATCACTTGTCTCGCTTCTTGTCATCATCACCGTGGACAGACGGACACACAGGCACACCATCAATCCAACAATCATTCCCTCGGCAGATCCCTTAGTGACCGCCCCCATTCACCTTTTTTCGGCATCACTTTCCTGCTGCTCACTTGACTGCAACTGTCTTGCAGCACAAGATCCACCTCACACGCCAGTAAAGGTCACAGGTCCAATCACAAGTGCAGTCTCTAGCACTTTTTATCACCACCATCTGCCGCCCTTCACAGTCCGTCACTGCACAACAGGCTCTTGCTCCCGGATCAGGCGCTTGCGTTCCGCTACTTAACTCAAGCTCACCATCACAACCAGCAAGGCCTAGCGTTTTGCCTACGTCTTCCCACTGCCAAACTCAGATCTAGCTTCTGCCAATAACCATCAATATGTCGTCTCTCTCACGAGCCTTCACTACCCGTCGGGTGAAGCAGAGCATCGATCTCTCCGATGCCGCGCGGGGGAAGGAGCGCAGCAACACCATGCAGCGAAGCAAGACCACCAAGCACCCCGTCATCAGACACAAGATCTCTGCGCCCATGGAGCTCGTTCACACCACCAACATGCTCTCATATAACGCTCCCGATATTCGTCCCCGAACCGGAACCGATGCCTCAAGTAACTCGTCTAGGAAGTCTTCAGAGGAGGATTCGGAAAGCGCCAACTCCGCCGCGTCGTCTCCTCCGACCAGCCCCGACGTCGCGCCTCACGAGCTGTCCAAGGAGCCCAACCACCTGTCCTGCTACTTTGTCGCTCCCGGCCAGGCTATCAACTCTTCTATCCCCGAAGTCCCCGCCATTCCTTCCATCCCCAAGCGCGCACCTTCGCACACGAAGCAGGCCTCATATGACGCCGTTGCCCGCCAGCGCTCAGTCTCCCAGATGTCCAAGGCTTCGGACAAGACCGTCTCCTCCAAGGCCAGCATGACATTCTCCTCGAGGGCGTCATCGGGCTCCAGCTCTGCCTCTACCATGTCTCACAGCTCAGTCGCCCCCGCCCCCAAGACCCCTGTGCCGCCTATGCCCGCGCCCGCATTCCAGCATCACCACCAGCCAAGACATGAGAAGCCTGCCGAACCGCACCCCTTCGGCCGCGAGTTGGCCCAGGTCACGGAAATTGCAGAGGAGTTTGGTATCAAGGACGACCTCATGTACGAGGAGGAGCGTGCCCTCAAGGCGGAAGGTCTCTGCAAGTTCGCCGCAGAAGACTACCTCACGGAGGTCCAAAGCATCTTCGCCAGCTTCTTCCACGACAGTCACGTACCTCAACGCCCAATGGCTGCCGCCGCATGGATCTGATGTGTTGATCACTTCTACTGCCTGCTTGGCACACCTTACTTGAGAACTCTTCTTTGTACATACTTGCAGGAAGCAAAAAACAACCTGACTACGACCTCGGCCTTTTTCTTGGGAAGGGAGATGATGAAAAATGAGACTTTTGGCTCAGACAACAGCCTCGCTTGGAGCGGACACTTCGCGAAACGGAGGGAGATTGCTCTGTTTGGAACCTGACGCCTGACTACATACGGGATAATTGGCGTTTCTGTGTATATACCTTTGAATGACGTGTGGATATCCCCCGATAGTGCCTCATATAGAGGCATCTACCAATATTGCTATTGATAACTAGCTACATCATTTTTGCGGCATGTTTTCATGATTGAGCCTCAAGTGTGATGTGAAGGTGA